TCTCAAGATTTCTGCAGCCCCAGAATGAGAAATACTGCTCAGAGGAGGGTTTTGAGGAGAGCCCCAGGCTCCCCCAGTAGCTTACGGGATTACCTGCTGTACAATACCAGGTTGGTTCAAACCAATGCCCGGTATTTCACAGATGCTGTTCATTTAATCCTTGTAACAACCCTCTGAGCTAAGCAGAACTGTCCCTATTACAACTCATAACACCCATGGGCCTTGGGGTTGCTCACAAAGAGTCAAAACTGAGATGCCAGATCTGGATGGAGATCTTGGTCAAGTTCCGCCAAAGCTTTCCTTCCTGATCGGGTCCAGTTAAGTATGCAAATGTAGCAAGCTGAGCATCTCATCCATTTCTTTTTGTGCAGACAGAACATCAGACATAAAAAGTGGCTTACTACGGCAGTTTAATGGCTGACGTTCTAAAGGCTCCTCTCATGTGGAAGGACATCTTACACGAAGAGGCACAGAAAGGGCTTCTACGTGCAGGTGCAGAGGAGAGGCCTCAGATTCCACATGAACTTTCCACCTTCCCACTTTTATCTATGCCGACTGCACTTCTCTTCCTGTGGGCCTACCTGAGCAGCTGCTAGAACTGAATCAAAGTCAACCGGAAGCTCCCCCTTCCTTTCCTCTGTGCCTTGAAGTACCATCAAATGACGGCTGGGTCCCGGCAGTCACTCTCCTCCAACTCCAGCAGCCCGGACTCGCTGCAGGCTCGCGAGCTGGTCCTGGGAAGACTCACTCCCTCACCGCGGGTCTGAGGGAGGAGAGGGAGCCTGTCAACACCGCCAGGTTTTCCGAGGAGCAATTCAGGGGCTGAATTCCCTGCCATACTGTGGGAGTCTGGTGGCCATCTTGACATGAGTGGGCAAGGCCCCGGTGCCTCCCCTGCCTGGGTGGAAACTATTCCTCACACACTTCCAGTGACGGGTGGGGCGGGTAGAGTCGGGGACTCTTCCTACTGTAGAGAAAGAACTGGCTTCAGAGATGCTGCTAGGGTTGATTCAAGAAAACGGAAGGGCCAGGCCTGGTGGCCACGTCTCTAATCTCTGCTTCGCAGAGCAGCCTGTACCTGGTTGCTGCACCTTCCCACACCCAGTCCCCAGCGTCGCCTCCAGTCCTGTGAGCACCGCCCCTTCCTTCCAGGCACCCCACGTGGGAACCAGCATCACCCGTGACCTTTCCCTGAGCCACACCACTCAGCCCATGAACCACACTTTCCCCAGGTCTGATACCCTCCGCTCCATCCTCAGGCTCTTGTTCAGGAAAGTCCCTGTCCTGATCCCCCTTTTCCCTCTCCTCCCCCAATTTCAACCATTTAACCATTAGAAGGGCACAGTTCTGTGGCAGTAACTGCCTTCACAATGCCATAAGCCATCCTCACTCTATGTCCCAAGTGCTCTGCCACCCCAGCAGAAGCTGCGTGCCCACTAAGCCATAGCTTCCCAATCCCTCCCCCAGCCCCTGGTGGGCTCAGATCTACTTTCTGCCCCTTGAGAAGGCCTGTTCTGGACGCTGCATGTTGAGTGGAGTCACACAGGGTCAGTCCTGGGTGTCTGGCTTCTTCCAGTGGCACAGAGGCCTGGGGTGCTTCCCTGTGTCGGTCGGCCTGCGGCAGGTTCCATTCCTGCTCACGGCTGCGGGTTGCTCCACGGACGGGTTGCTCCACGGCGTGTGCAGACCACATTTGGCTACCCACTCTGCACTTGCCTTCATCGTGTCAATTCTCCTGCTCACATAAGCCTCAGTAGTTCTGCAGCAGCCACACAGTCAGTCCAAAACCTGCCTGCCATGGAGCTCACCTCCCATCTGGCCCCAGTCCACAGAGTCACACCTGCTCCCAGCTCAGACAGAAACCCTGGCTGTAAATGAACACACCTGAGTGTCCTGCGTCGACACCGTTGCTCATGCTGTTCCCTTCACCTGGAATGTTCTCCTGCTTCCTCAGGTCAAAGCCCATTGGTCCGGCTCTGATCCTGCTTGCTGCGTTGGACCTCCCACTTCCCAAGAGCAAAGCCACTCTCACAACTCAGCTCCCAAGCACTTTGCAGTGTGGCATTGAATCACCTCCTATAGTTCTCTCTCTCCTATGCCCGCCCTGCAGGCTAAATGCCTCCAGAGCCATCTTTTTCTGTTGCTGTATGCAAGGCTGTGGTCTGCAGAGAAGGAGTTTCAATAGATATTTGCCAGTTAACTTCAAGGACTGGGAAGCCAGGCACAGTGCACTCACCTGTAAAGCCAGTGGCTCTTGGAGGCTGAGGCAGGAGGATCCTGAGTTCAAAGCCAGCCTCAGCAAAACCAAGGTACTAAGCAACTCATGAGACCCTGTCTCTGAATAAAATACAAAATAGGGCTGGGATGTGGCTCAGTGGTGGAGAGCCCTGAGTTCAATCCCCAGTACCAAAAGAAAAAAGGACTGGGAAGGTGGATTCTTTCAGCAACCTGGCAGTCTGATTATGGTTGATGTGGAATAAAACATCAATTATTTGGGAAAAAATGTAGTAACTGTGGAAAAGATACTGCTCAGTTGAGGGGAAACTATCCAAAAGGGGAATCGGAAGTAATCAGGCCCCCAGTATCTAGCCAAGCGTAACAAAATAAAGAGTATTTTTGTGTAAGAAAAACAAAATACCACTGTGGCCTGCAGGATGGACTCAGAGATGGGGTTCAGCAGGACAGAGCATGCTCAGGGAGGACGCAGCAGAAGGTGGTCCTCCCTGGAAGACAGGAACAGCTGTGTCTCTGGGAGGTGCCACCTTCTTAGGTCAGTCCCCTTGCAGGGCTGTCCAGAGCCTTCCCCAGGCCGGGCCTTGATCTGGTTATGTGGTTGCCTAAGTGTAGTCTTCTGGTGGTAGGACTCTTGCTATGTTCTGTTCTTGTTGTTACTTAGAAAATGAGAGGGAGCTCACTGGGGAGGAGGAGGCCCAGGAGCCCAGGGAAGCCCTGGGAGGGGCCCCAATCTCACTGGGTAGTGGTTTCTGCGCCACCTTGTGGCAGCCTGAGTCTAGACAGAAGAGCTGCTCCCTGGTCTGCCAACCCCAGTCCAGGCCTGCGGGGATCCTCAGGTGCGGGTGAGGAGCTAGTCCCCTGGGCGGCAGAGTCATTACAGGGTGATGAACGCTTTCACAGCAGAGAGTCCTTGAATGAATGACAAGGACCCACGAAAGACAGGCGTCTTTCTCTGGGAACTCCACGTGATCCCAGGAAGTATTCCAGACCATTCAAGCAGCTGGTGAGTTTTTAGAAAAGAAGCAAAGACGGCAAGTGTTGTCATCCTGGGTTCTCCAGAAACAAGCCAGAGAGCCTGGTTCTCAGTGTCTGTCGCCATCGACTGCCTAGACAAGGACAATGCGCCCTTGACGAGCTGCAGGGCCCCTGGGCTCGTCAGAGAAGCCACACTTCACCATGACACGGATCAGACTGCAGGTGCGCCAGGGACGTGGACGGGTGACGCCAGGTTGAACGCCCCGAGAGGCTGCAGCAGCCGTGAACACCACGAGTCGCCAGCGCCACGTGGCCCCTCAGAACAGATGCCAGGCGGCGGACCCCTGGAAGGCCCCTCTTGCTGCAGGATGAAGAGCCCACGCTACCTTGGGTTCTGTCTGAAGGACGCTGACTGTGTTAACAGGGTTCCAGACAGAATGACAGCAAGGGACCCCAGGACCTGGTCAAGCAAGCCTTGAGGGGAGCTGGATGCGGTGGCACACACCTGTAACCCCAGTGGCTTGGGAGGCTGAGGCAGGAGGATCGCAAGTTCAAAGCCAGCCTCAGCAAAAGCAAGGTGCTAAGCAACTCAGCGAGACCCCGTCTCTAAATAAAATACAAAATAGGCTGGGGATGTGACTCAGAGGTTGAGTGCCGCTGAGTTCAATCCCCAGTATCCCCCAAAAAAAGTCTTGAGGGGAGGCATAGATGTGAGCTAAATGCTTAAAAGACTGCTCCCAGCATATATACACAATAGAATATTACTCAGCAATAAAAGAGAATAAAATCATGGCATTTGCAGGTAAATGGGTGGCACTGGAGAAGATTATGCTAACCGAAGTTAGCCAATCCCCAAAACAAATGCCACATGTTTTCTCTGATATAAGGAGGCTGACTCATAGTGGGGTAGGTAGGGGGAGCATGGGAGGAATAGATGGACTCTAGATAGGGCAGAGGGGTGGGAGGGGAAGGGAGAGGGCAGGGGGTTAGCAATGATTTGTAATGTGATGGACATCATTATCCTAAGTACATGTATGAAGACACGAATTGGTGTCAACATACTTTATATACAATCAGAGGTATGAAAAATTGTGCTCTATATGTGTAATAAGAATTGTAATATATTCCTCTGTCATTTATTTTTAAAAAGTCAATTAAGAAAAAAAAAAGACTGCTCCTGTGTACAAGGAACAGCGGTGCTGTTTTGCCCTGGATCCCAGTGTGAATCAGAGTTCAGAACCCGTGGACTTTCTAGAGAGCCAGGCCTTCTCTTGTCGCCCTTGTATGGGCAGAGGAGGGCAGGAGGTGGGGAGGTCCTGGCAGGTGAACCACCTGTCACAGGAGTGGATCAGACACCTTCGGAGGCTCCATCCGCCAGGCCTTGGATCCCCAAGGGGACATGCTGACCACAAGCCTGCGCTGCATGACGCTGCATGACCGTCCCCGCTGTACTCCTGAGGGCGGGGTTCTCTCCTACCAGAGTGGACTCACTCTGTTTCACAGTGGTGCCTGTTGTTTTCCACAGCGGGGTGTCCACAATATATGCTGAAATGATTTCCTCCCTATCAAGCAGACTGGAGGCTAATTTCCCCAGAGGCCTGCAGCCCATGGCTGCATGAATCATTAACTACTGAGGACAAAGCAGCCCTTCTGCTGTGCCACTCACTGGGTAGCAGTGGGTTCTCCTAAAGGATAAGCGGTTTGAGGACTATCATCTTGGGAACACTTGTCTCACAGAAATGCTTTTAAGCAAGCATTAAGGTAGGTGCTCCAACCACATCATTAGGGAAAGTAGGAGCGTGTGCTCTCCGAGGCCAGACCATCTGAAAAGCCAGGTCCACGACCAACTGGAGTACAGCCACGGACAGACAGACGCCGACCCGCTCTGAGTGTCGATTTCCACCTTGGGTAAAATATTACCCCATTCATGAAGGCCATGAGAAGACTGAGGGAATGGAGATGTGCCAAGTCCCACGTGTCCCTGGCACAGAGGAAAGAGCAGAGTTCACAGGAGAGACGCAGAGAGGACAGCAGTCCAGAGAGAGACGCAGCGGGAGCAGCTCGGAACTCCACTCGTCTCATATCAAGTGCTCTGCTGGTCTTTTTAACACGGCCTGTGCCTTTTAGCTAGCTGTCTGGATTTGTCACCAAGCAATCTGTCTGCCATAGAGTTCACAGGTCGAGGTGCCTACTGTGTGTCGTCTACCCGGCAGCTGGTCCTGCCTTCTGTGCAGGCTGAGTCCTGATTGGGTTTGCACCTTCCTCTCTGTCTCTCTGTGCAGGTAACTCCCAGCTGATCTGTTCTCTGTCCTGAGGTGTTGCTATGGAGAAACGTGATGCCTAGAGCTGCTACAGGCATGTACATCCAGAAAGGGAGTCATTCAACATGTTGAGTGTGACAGCACCAAAAGATGGAGAGACCACCAGAGGCTGATCCTCAGGGACATCACCGAGCCACTGAGATCATCAGCCCTGTTCTGGAGACTAGGGAGATTGTGCACCCCGTATTGGCTAAGCTACTGGACACTGGGCTTCATGGGTTTGCATTCATTAGCATACCAACCTTTGCACCTGTGCTGTCCTTCCTGAGGGCTTTCGTATTGGGGGTTAATAAGTTGAGTGGAAAAATGTTGGATCACACTTTCCTCTAGAACTTTGTACCTTCGCTTCCTTTCTATCTAGCATGGGAAGCTACCGCAGAGGACACTGAAGCTGCCCACTCTCTCCCACCTCTTCTCCTTGCCGTCAATAATGGATCCAGGATATCTCTTCCAGTTGGTGGTTCTACACCAGTTTTTCCTGGAACATAGTGAGAATTTTTGATCTGCAGATTCAATTCTCTTATTTCAGAAATGTTTCCTTATATCCCTGGGGAAAAAAAAATCTCAAGTTGAAGTCTCTTTTTCAGGAACACCAACTAACCCTTTCATAATTACTTAAATGTCTTCATCTTTCTACTCTATATTCACTGTAATTTAGTCAAGCCCAAAGTCAGGAATTCAACTAAGTTATGACTAGTCTATTTCTTGGTTTCTCTAACTTATTTTCTGTATTGAAATATTTCTGCTTTTTGTTTGATTTCCTTGGGCATGTAATCTTTTCCTTCTCATTCTGTTGTTTTCTACTCTCTCATTTTATTAAATTGATCTCGTGTTACTATTCTATAACATGGAACACATGTAAAAAATTTTATTTATTTGGTTCTTCACCTATATCACCAAGCTATAAATCCTTTTTTATTCCATTTTTATTAAAGTCTAAGATTTAGATAGTGAATATGCTGCTTCTTTCTATCTTATTCTATGTAACCTGGGTGGCTCTTGGCAGATCTTTTGTTTGTTCAAATATAATGTGAACAATTTCTCTTGGGCTTCCTTCCTGAGTGCCTTGAGCAGCGGGGATGTTGCAGTTTCTATTTTTGCAGGACCTGAAAGTAGCGATGGCTGGAGAGGTCCTGCGGCCCAGGTTCATCGTCATTTTTATGCAATGACCTCCCCACGCTCTTTCCCCTGCATTAGCTCTGGACACGTTCCTGGAACCGCAGACTCTAACTGCGGCTAGAGTAGTCACTAACGATGGCAAGGAGAGCACTCATGGCGACTCACTAATAACTAGCATCCACGGCCCTCAGTCGTGGTCACTGGGGCCCGGAAGGGCAGCGTCTGCACCCGGCCCAGAAGAGATGCCCAGTAGAGTGAGCAAGGAATGGCGGCCAGGCCCGCATTAGGGACGGAATGCCGAAGGGCAGAGCTGGCGGGACCTGACCCCGGGCCGCGGAGCCCGGCGGGATGGAAACGGGCGACCCGAAGGCAGCGCGGCCCAGTCCCGCGCGGTGGCGGGGCTCCGCGGAGCATCCCGCCAGCGTTCTCCCGAGGTCCAGCGCGGTTGCCGCGGAGACCGCCCGGCCAGGGACTGCGCAGGCGCAGCGTCCTGTTGCTAGGACAGCCTGGAGCCCCGGAGCCGCGAGGGAAGTTCCGAGCCTTCAGCGCCCGCAGGGGAGCCCGCCAGCCCCGCTCGGTGCCCTTCCCTGCCTGTAGTGAGGGGCTGTCCCGCTCCCACCCTCCCCAGCACCGCGACCTGCGGGGCCCCCCCGCAGTGGCCAGCCTCCAAAGGCAAAGGAAGAGTTCCCGGTGGGCCAAGGAAAGCGGAAGTAGCCAGCCATGTCGAACGCGTAAGTGTGGGTGCCCTAGCCCTGGGGCACTTCTCCAAGCCAGGAGTGGCCTGCTTTGCTCCTTTCCTGTCTTCTCCCCTCCGTCTCCTCTTTCCTCTCTTCTCCACTGCCCTTCTCTCTTTTCCCTTTGTAACAAATTCAATTCAGATGTGCCTGAGACTGGAGGATCAGCTTCTTGTGGACAGGGTGTATGGTACCCTTAGATCCCCCCACCCAAAGAGGAGCTCCAGCCAGGTCCTCACTTATGCCCCAGGTGCCCTTGAGGTCGAGGAACCTCAATTTGTAATCCTCAGTAATAAATGGGCCCTAGTGTGAATGCCCAGGTCCCAACGCCTCAATCAAGAAAGATCTTGAGGAGCTCCCTTCCTTGGCTTTCCACGGTCCCTGGTGGAGGTGCTGAGAGGCTGTCCCTAGCATGTGCCACGGGCACAGCCCTGCCCTAGTTTCCTTGTTTGGAAACAAGTCATTTCAAACATGGATTGCGGACTCGGGGACCACTGCTCAAAGTCCCTGAAGTACAGCAACTGTCCTCACCTCCACAACCACTCTGCAGTGTTGGCTATTAGGATTCCATTCGCAGTAGCTTAGGTGCAGAGGCGAGCAGCTCATGCAGCAGGTGGAAGGTGTGGCCCCAGAGCCGCAGTCCAGCCACAGTCTTGCTGTGACAGCCCTCTCTTCTAGGCCAGGAAACTGGAGCAGAGGGCTACAGGATCGCCAAGGTTTGGGGATGCGGGAGATCAGGAGTTCAGCCTGGGACCTGTTGAGTGCAGTTGAATACTCAGGCTGCCTGGTGGAAACAGCAGTCGGGTCCTTTTAGCGTCATAGTCAGTCTTCGCCCCCCTGACTTCAAAGGCTGTAGCACTTCTAGGCCTCATGGCCACGTCGGAAACCACCACACTTGTACAAAATGCTGGGTCTCACAGATGAGTGCTGCCTTCCCTTTGCCAAGTGCATGTAAAGTCTCAGGAACACTGTCACATGTCTTGTGCTGTCCCACTGTGACCCTCTGAGCAGGTGTTGTTATCCAGGTTTGCCACTCAAGGAGGTGTGGGCACAGGAGGAGAGGCGGTAGCCCAAGGGGACACCCTCATGGCAGAGTCTCTTGAATCCTAGAGCACTCTCTGTCAGTACACGGGATTGAACCCGGGGCACTGGGCCACAGAATCTTGCTGAGTTGCTTAGGGCCTTGCTAAATTGCTGAGAGTGGCCTTGAACTTGAGGTCCTACAGCCTCAGGCTCCCTAGTGGCTGGGATTACAAGCTTGTACCACAGCGACTGGTTTCTATTTTAAACCTTTAGCATTTTCACCTTGAGAAATCACCTTGCCAAGACCAGGAAAATACACACATGCGTCCACACAAACACTTGTGCCTGAATGCTTATGGCGGCCCTGTTTTTAGCGGCCAGTGTGGCTGAGTAGAGAACCCTGTGGGGTCCCCACACAGTGGAGAATTGCTTGGCAGTAAAAAGGCATGAAATTCTGGTTTGCGCTATAGCATGGCACGTGGGTGAACAAGGGCCACCTGTCACATGGCTCTGGGCACAGCATCCCACTGTGGTGGATCCACTTTGTTTTCAGCCTTGCCGTGGAGTGGAAGTGATTGGTGTCCAGCATGAGCCGTGCTTCTCATTTTAAATTTGAGCCTTTCCCAGGCTGGCGATATGAGGTTCACATCTCTCAAGGGTGCCTCCTGGGGTGGCGGCACCCTTACTGTGTTGGTGAGTTAAATGTTGTGACGTTGATAATCTCTCAAGGGTGCTGGGTAGCACCTGGAGCATGATTCCTGTCAGCCCTGCCACTAGAAGGGGACAGTCAACCTTCTAGCAAGCTCTGCTGCAGAGCTAGTGTGGGCGGTAGATTTAGGGTATTAAATGCTCTTTCTACTGACAGCACGTTCAGCTTACAAAGGTTTTTTTTTTTTTTTTAAACATCTTGACATGAAATGTCCAGAAACGGCAGGTAGAAGTGAGATTTAAGGTGGCCAAGGGCTGGGAGGAGTGGGCCCTAGGCAGGGAGGGCTGCATGGCATGGCTGTCTTTTGGGGTGATGGCAACATCCTGGAGTTAGGAGGTATGGGGTTTGCCCAACACTTGGTGCAGACCGTAAACCCCCGAACCGTGCACTTGAGAAGGCATTCGATGGCACGTGAATGACGTCTCCGTGATGCCCTGCTACAAAGCATCTTGTCACGTCCCTGTGCCACGTGACCTTCCCAGGGCTGCAGTGCGGTGAGCTCCATGCTGGGTCCTGGAGGCCCCACAGGCTGATGTGACTGAGGCACGGTGGCCAGGCCCCTGGCACTCCAGTGAGTGATGGGGTGGCCCCCCAACACCATGTGGACAAGAGTCACATGGAGGGGGTCTGGACAGGAAGACAGAAGCCACAGTCAATCCCTGGAGAACAAGGCTTGGTGGAGGAGATGGAGGCCTCTCAGAGCTGAGGAACACAGGTGAAGGTGCCCCGTCCCTTCAGACAAGGGGCCCTCAAAAGGCAGCAGGCAAGGAAGAAGAAGGCTCAGCCCAAATGGCAGGACCTGGGAGGCCCAGCCAACAGATGCCTTTGGCCAGAAGTCCCAGTTAGGGCCAGCCCTGCAGTGGCCTTGGGAACTTCCTGCTGCCTGACCCCTGGGCCAGCACCTGCATGAGTGCCCTTAGCTGCAGCAGGGCTCCAGGCCGGGCCTGCCCACAGCAGCTGCAGCCCTGGGTCCCTGGGAAAACAGCAGTCCCCTCAGCCCTTGCTCTTTGTGGGGTTCAAGCCTCCCTCCTGCACCCTCCTGGAGGCAGCCTCCTGGGGTGGCGGCACCCTTACTGTGTTGGTGAGTTAAATGTTGTGACGTTGATAAGACACCTTTTATCTTTAACTGTCTGCCCCACCTGGTGTTTAAGACTCATGACTAGATTTACTTAGTGTTCAGTGTGTCCTTACTAGATTCCTGGCAAATCCACAAGCCAGTCTCGAGACCTGCTGTCTTCATATCTTATCTCCCCAGGCAGGACCTGACACCGCCTTCTGCTTATTCTGATCTTCCCCATTCTAGAATGTTGATTCATGAGGCCTAATGTGGCTCCCACCATGGTAATTCTTAAAAAGTTAATGGTCTTTATTGGAACTGGGAATGGGATTTCTTTTATCATTTTCTTCTCCACATTTAGATTGCACAGGTTTTGTCTAAGTCTTTCAATGCTGCAGTGCTAATTGACTTTTTGTTGTTGTTACTGACTTCCTTGGATTTTAATTCATTTACAAATGGTGGTGTTAAACATCTTTTATAGTTGAGTCCTTGTATAATTCCTTTTAAAAAATCATTCCTCGGTTTTGAGGAGCATCCCCTGCATTGCTCTGGAGGAGATCTCGTTGGCCCATTCTAGCACTGTGGTCACCCTGCTCCTGGACCTGTGAGGGGGCTTCTCACTCACGTGTGGACTGTGAGTCAAACTTCACTGAGCATTGGTGGGAATACGCCAGGGTCTTACCGTTCTGCTGAGGAGCTAGGGCCCCTAGCATGGGCTGCGGGCACCCTGGGCTCTTGGCCTTGGTCGGAGAAGTGAGGCTTCTGGGGTGGTGCTGTGCTCTGTTTGCTAAGTGGGACTTCAGAGCTGAGTTCCAGATGAGATCAGCCTGTGCTTTACCTCGTGTTGTCCCAAACCCTGTTTAGTTCAGAAAATGAATAGAGCACTTTTTTGGTTCTATGCTACAGTGCAGGGTCCTTCAATGCATGTGGCCTGTGTGCCCTCTCAGGTCAGTGACCAAAGCAGGTGGCTGTCCCTTCCAGATTCTGCGAGTCTGGGCATTGGCAAGCCAAGACTATACTCCACTTCTCACACCCCCAGGATTCTGAGTCCCCCAGGTGGATGAGTTGCTGTGCATTGTGTGCAAAGCCTGCGGTCATCTTTGAGGTGATGGCTTTGCCTCCTCGTGCCCTCTCCTGTCTGCTTGTCTTCTTGAGAGTGGCAAGCACAGGGCCAGCATATCCGGGTGACTTAGACAGCTGTAAGTCTTTGGTGTTACTTTGCCTTTGTTGTTACTGTCCTTTTGAGGACCGTTTTTGCCGTTGGCCAGTAAGTAACATAATTATTAACCACTGATTATGCAAGGAGTGAAATGTCCCACCCTAAATAAATCCTAACTTTCCCATAATAACAGTCCCTTTTATAATAAAGCCATCTGGCAGAATGCCCTTTCGCTATCAACGTCTTCTAAACATTGCTGAGGTTTGAGAAATCTTGTGCTTGAACACACTGGAGGTGGTGCACCAGGGGCAGCATCCAGCATCCTGACAGTGGGGTGCTGGGGAGGGTGGGAGAGTGGGGTGCTAGGGGAGGGGGAAAGAGTTTTGTTGTTTTGAATCTCTTGATCTTTGTTCTTCTGTGGTGGCCACCACACCTGTCCTCCATATCTGATCACCCTCATTTGCTTTCTTCCTGATGAATTGAGAGTGGAAAGTTTGGTGGTCAGAGCGGAGGATCTGGGGTCAACTGCCAAGGTACAAATCCTCTGTTCAGATTTATGATTCGGGGCAATAATTTCTCCGTACCTCTGTTTCCTCATCTGCATGCAGGAGTGATAATTTACCTGCCTCACAGGGACATTGTGAGAATGACATGAGTTTTTGTATGTAAAGCACGCAGAACAGAGGCTCACAGTACAAAAACTTAAGTCACCATCATTGTCACCTGAACCTTGAAACCCTTTTCACATCAAGGTGCACTTTAAACTTTTGGCCAAGAAGATGAAAAAACCTAACGTGATCAATGCTTCAATAAGCAATTCCTGCAAAATTTCTCACTCGCAGGGAAGTCTGGAGCGCTTTGGAAGGACAGCAGGTGGCGGGCCTGGGCAGAGGGAGCACAGGTAGGGCACAGCACTGAGCCACTGAGGGCTGGGAACCAGGTGACTGGACGGTGTGTCTACCTGCACTGTTGCCTCCGGGGTCAGTAAAGGGTTGACAAGTTTGTGAGCTCAGGGGTCAAGGGGAATGTAGAGAGCCTGGAGAGGTACCAGGAGATGCCAGGGAGGGACAGGCAGGAAGGGAGAGTCAAGAGGAGGTGGACCTGGGCACACCTGGGGCCAGGAACCAGCAGCTCCTCTGCAAGGGGGGAGCCCTGGTCTTCTGAGGGGGCTGAGAATAGGGGAGTGGTTGTGATTCACTTGCCCTGAGTTTGCTTTTGTTGTTACTGTCCTTTTGAGGACCGTTTTTGCCGTTGGCCAGTAACATAATTATTAACCACTGATTATGCAAGGAGTGAAATGTCCCCCCCTGAATGGGAGCTGGTGGCTAACCTGTGGAGAGTCTGGAGGCCAGACGCAGGGCAGCATGGAAGAGCATCCAGACAGGCAGGCAGGAGGGCGAGCATCCTCAGCCCTCTTGGTCCACTCCCCAGCCAGGGGAGGAGCCACCCTCTCCACTGAGCACGGGAACACCTCACAGACAGCCATTCCCCTCATCCCAGGGAAACCAGTGACAGGCCTGTCACCCGGTCCCATGGGGAAGTCCCTTCCCATGGACCTCCAGTCCAACTTTGTCTTGTTCTTGAATATAAAAGAGCCAGAACCCACCCAAAACCGGACCCTCATTCATCTCTACCATGACTGTATTGGTCAGGGTGCCACAGGACAAGCAAGCACCTTGAGTGGGTCTGGTAAGTGGCCAGACAAGGGCGTGGACAGAGTCTAGGGAAACCAGCAGGTGGCAACAGGAGGAGGGAGGCCCTCTGCTACCTGCCAGGGAGGCAGTGGGACTGTGCACACCTCACCATCCCCCACCTCTCAACCCCAGCATGAGGCAAGAGGGCCTGGCGGGAGCAGGCCAGCAGCTCCGCCCCAGGCCTCGCTGCACTCCACTGTGCTTCAGACGCTTGTGAATGTTGCCTTGAGCTCTCGTTCACTCACCAGTTTCCACTTCTGTGTGACATACACAGCCACTGGTGACCATGCCACAATTCATTTATCTGCCCTTTTGGTGATGGGCATTGGGTCATCTCTGTTTATGCTATGACACCACTTGTATTCAACATAGTTCTTGAAACTCTAGCCAGAGCAATCAGACAAGAATAGGAAATTAAAGGTGATAGATCGGGAAAGAAGTCAAATTATACGTCTGCTGATGACATGATTCTATACGTAGGAGACCCAAAAACTCCCCAGAAGACTTCTAGAGCTGATAAATTCATCAAAGTAGCAGAATACAAAAATCAACATACAAAAGTCAATAACTTTCTTATATTCCAATAATGAATCTGCCGAGAAAGAAAACAGGAAAACTGTTCAGTTCACAGTGACCTCAAAAAAATGAAATACTTGGAAATAAATCTAACCAAGGAGGTAAAAGACCTCTATCATGAAAGTCATAGAGCACTGGAAAAAGAAATTAAAGAAGACCTTAGAAGATGGAAAGACTTCTTATGCTTGTGGATAGGCAGAATTATCAAAATGGCCATGTTATCAAAAGCCATATAGAGATCAGTGCAATACCCATCAAAATATCAATGATATAATTCATAGAATTAGATTTTAAAAAGTCCTAAATTTATTTGGAAGAATAAAAGACCCAGTGTAGCCAAAGCAATACTGAGCAAGAAAGGCCATGCTGAAGGCATCACCATCCCTGATCTCAAATTCTACTGCAGAGTCTAGTAATAAAAACAGCATTGGAACGAGCACCGAAACCAACAAGGGGACCAGGGGAATAGAATAGGAGACACAGAGACTACGCCACACAAATAGTTTCCTAATACTCAACAAAGATTCCCAAAACATGTTGTACAAAAGATAGCCTGTTAAACAATCGGTGCTGGGGAAACTGGATATCCATATGTAGAAGAGTGAGACAAGAGCCCTATCTCTCATCACTACAGAAGTCAACTCAAGGTGGATCAGAGACCTGGGAATCAGACCAACTGCTGGAAGAAAACACAGGGTCAACACTCCCGCATTTTGACTCAGGCACTGACTTCCTCAACATTGTTACCCCTAAAGCCAAGGAAATGAAAACGAGAATCAGTCAGTGAGATGACAGCAAGTTTAAAAGCTTCTGCACAGCAGAGAGAACAAGAACATGAGGAGAGAGCCTGCAGAACGGGAAAATCTCCACCAGCTATTCCCCCAACAGGATTAGTACCCAGAAGGTGTGAGGAACTCGAAAAACCTAACACCCCAAACACATAATCCTACCAATAAATGTGCAAAAGAACTGAACAGACATTTCTTAAGAAGGAATACAAATGACCAACACATATATGAAAAATATATGTTTGACATCCTTAACAATCAGGGAAATGCAAACCAAAATCACACTGAGTTTTCATCTTCTGTTAGAATGCCAGCCATCAAGAATACGCACAATAGCAATGCCCGTGAGGATGTGGGGGGAAGGCACGCTCATACACGTTGGTGGGATTATAAATTAGTACAACCACTGTGGAAAGCAGTATGGAGATTCCTCAAAAGATCAGGAATGGAACCACCACGTGACTCAGCTGTCCCACTCCTGGGTAGTTATTCAAAAGAACTAAAATCAGCATACTACAGTGACACAGCCATATCAGGTTTATAGCAGCACAAGTCACAATGGCTAAGTTATGGAACCAGCCCAGATGCCCATCAACAGACTAAGGGATAAAGAAAACGTGGTATGGACACACAATGGAGTTCTACTCAGCCACGAAGAAGAATGGGATTATGGCATTTGCTGGTGAATGGACAGAACTGGAGGGCATCATAGGAAGTGAGATAAGCCAAGAAAGATAAGGGTTGAATGTTTTCTCTCATACGAGAAGCTGGAGCAAAATCAGGGGAGGATACCATGAAAATAGAAGGGAGATGAGTGGAGCAGAGGAAGCGGGTAGAAGGGGAGGGAAGAGGGACTGGAAAAGAGGGTCTGCAGAAAGAATGGACCCAGCTGTGCTATGTACATATGTGAATCTACCCCAGGGAATTGTACCTTTATGGATACCTATAAAGCACTGATTAATAAAACAATAACTACAGAGAAGAAAGACCAGTAGAAGAAGGAGAAGAGGAGAGGGAGGAGAGGAGGGAAATGGCAGGATTGGGGATTGAAATAGCACAAAATAGATTCCATGCATGTATGAATATGTCAAAATGATCCCCGCTATCATGTGTAACTAGTGCACGAATAAAGAACATTAAAAATACTACTCTAAACATCCTCAATGCACATTTACAAATTTCTCTGCAAATATGATTATTCATAGAGTCTGCACATGTTTAACTTTACAAAACAAAGTTGAATGACTTTCCAAAATGGTTGCTGTAATTTATACTCCATCAACTATGTATATGGACAAACAGTGAACCATTCTGGACCTCAATCATTTTATCATTTACATTAATATAATAATACTGGCTTCACATGATGGTGAGGAACAACTATATCATTTAGGATAGGACTTTTACAATTTCTTATTTGTAATAATAGCAGTGGTCAGATCTAAAAAACCACATGGACATCCATACAGGACTTAATATTGTCTAAACAGCCTGCAGCCGCCATGTACTGCAAGCTCACGCCTGATTGTGCGTTCTGTTTTGTTAGACCAGATGGCAGTATGTTTCCCTGACAAAATAATTCTCATCTGCTCAACTGTCTGAACCCTGTGTCCTCCCGCAGGATGTATAATAAAATGTGGCACCAGACCCAAGAAGCCCTCAATTCTTTGCTTGATAAAGAGTCTCGGAAGCTGGTGGAGCAAGAGAAGAATCCTGTCTACATCTTCCAGATGTTGGCCACCTTCTACATAAAGTATGTGCAGATCTTCAGGAACCTGGAGAATGTCTACGACCAGATAGTGCACCCACAGAAGCGACTGCTGATCCGGAAGATCCTGGACGGGGTCATGGGGCGCATCCTGGAGCTGAAGAACGACATGGTGGAGCTGGAGTTGTCTGAGTTCCATTACTTTGATGATATCTTACAGGACCTGAAGTTGGCCCCTGTAAGTACTCTGTTGGTTCTTTCGTCTTTATTTTCCTCTCACTGTTAATAAGGCGTGTGGGTCTCTACCGATATTCCGCAGGTCCTGTGGACGCATTTGTTGGTGTATTCAACACCTAAACGTCAGCATCACGCTGTCACCGCTGAGTCTTAGTCCCCTTCCCTCTTGATGAGGATGAGAGTCTGCACCATCCTCTGTTCTGTTAGGAATGGGGTGTGGGCCAGGACCGTGGGATTAGAGGGGCCCCACCTGCCACAAACCCAGAAACACAGACCCTCCCAGTCTTCCGGAGTATGCCCTGCTCTCTGGGCCCATGGAAGTTCCCCTCCGCCTCTCCCTGCTGGCAGCTCCTACACCCCTCCTCTGGGCAGTTAGCCCTGGCCACTGTCCTCTGACCTTTGCTGCTTGACCCCCACCCAGGGCTTCTGCTGGTGTTCTGTCTGGCTGGGTGTGCAGGGCCGTTGGACACCCACCACTTAGGAGCTATTTGCCTATGAGCTTACCCTTCATCTTGAAAGGAATGTTTCCACAGAATAAAATCAAAAGGAGAAAATGTTCGATTTTTACATTGGAGTGTAGTGTTTCTTTGCTTTGGAAGTGTTTTGGCTTTCCCAAAGCGTCATGCTTCTTTCTGGGATGTACCCCCTTAGTTTTGTTGGTCAATTTTATCAGGATGGACTAAAGAAAATACCGAAATCAACAAAAATGTTGAAGAACCTATTCCTAAATTTGCGTGGCCATAGCTTTCATCTATAAGCTCCAAAATTAAACCACTGGATTTAGGCAGGTGGGTTTACTCACCAGGTAAAATGTGGATGACCTCGGATAAATGTGAAACACGTAGTTCTTCAACCATACTCTCAAATCTGATTGGTAAAGTAACATTAAATTTACAAATTTAACTTCAGAAATATAATAAATGCTGCCCCTAAATGCAAGGACCAATGAGTTTATGGGATTTATGTGGGGCTGCTTCTGTTTCTCTCCCTGTCCACAGCAGCTGGCCCCTCTGCTTTGGTCATCTCCTAAAGGCCAGGAGCAGCTGCTGTCACAGCAGAAGCCACTGGACACCAGGAGCATCCCACAGGGCAGACCGCAGCAGGAAGCCTTCATGGTGGGGGGCTCTCAACAGTGACTGAGCCGTGGGAGGTGACAGGCAGCCAGGGGTTCACCCAGCAGCCACAGCACAGCCAGGAAGACCATGAGCCAGCTCCAGGGACTGTGTGCATTTCAGGTGCAGCCACCCAGCACCCTGTGCAGTTTGGCCTCTGTGACTGTCACTCACATAGCCCACCACTCTCTGTGTTTTGCGGCCAGCACCCAGCTGCTTGTCCAGTAGGACCCTGTGCCCTGATCACAGGTGACCAATCCACTGAGAGGCTCTGGGTGGCTGTACCAGTCAGGCCCTCCCTCGGAGTTTCTGAACCAGCTTCCACCTCGAGGTCTGAACTGTGGTCCCCCAGATACCTAAGGGTTAGAGCTCCGTCAGCCCGGTGCTCTGGGGAATGGAGGGAGATGCTCTTGGCGACAAAGAGGGGAAACCAGAGACAGCAGAGAGCAGAAGGAAGCAGCAGAGCCTTCCCCTGCCCCCGTGCCCGCCCTTGGCTCCATGGGGTCCCCAAGTCTGTCCAGAAGTGCCCCCTTTGGGCCAAACTATCCAGAAGCCTGTTTCTAGCACCTTCTCTGCTAGGTCCTCCAGCACAGAGGGGTGTGTGAGGAGAGAGGGCCTCTGTACCTCGGCACTGGCAGTGTCCTGGATCCCCTCCATGGAGAGCTGAGGCTGGGTACCTGCACCTAAAAGGGGTCATGATGGACACCTCTGCCCCGACTTCCATGCTCCACTGCTCTGTGAAACCCTAACTGCCAAACCCTCACTATGATTTTGTGGTCCCAAATGGGCCAGATGCAGTCATGTCGATAAAATTTTTGCCTTAGAATTTGGAACAGTGCATCGTGCATGTTTCTTAATTAATAACTTCCCAACATTAGATATAAGTGCCATCATTCCTCTCTGACTGCCCTCCCTCCATAGGGCACACTCACCCCCTGGGCCCTGGAGCTCACTCCCAGATCACCTCCCAAACTCCATTAGCCTGTAAAAAGCCTGGGGTTCAAAAGCTGTTGCCACCTTCCAGAATTCCAAGGATCTGTTCTTCTCAGTCCTAAAGATGATACCCCTTATGCTTTAAAGCTTATTTAGGAGAATTCCTGTCCAGAATTCTCTGGGGTGAGGGGAGTCACACCCTGATTTGGAAAAAAAAGGGAAACTAATCCTAGAGACCATAACCTTGGCTTGCCCCGTCAGCTGGTCTACCTGGAATTAGCCAGGCATGACGGACAGTGTCTGGGACAGTCTTCTCACTGGGCCAAGAGTCCACATCCTTGAATAGACTTCTGTATTCCTCATCATTGAACTTGGACTCGTAAGTATTTATTTGACCTCTACTAGTTTGAAATATTTGGTAATATTCTTCATACAGGTGAAGAATAGACATTCAGACTTATTTTGCCAAAAACAAGTTTTCTGAATGGTACAGTCACCCAGAGCCTCTAATTTCACAACTAATTTTTGAATGAGATAATTTATATAAAAATAAAACCAAATTATTAGAAAAGATTATGGTCTTCTGCATACCAATAGTCAGTGGTGCTAATTCTAATTTATTAGGTTTAATTCAAAGACCTCTATGACCCACCTGGTTTGAATAATTATTTTAGAGACTGAGAGAATATTATATTTCTTTAAAGAAATTCATAAGGTAATCATGAGTTCTTTGAGGCCTATTTGGTGTGAATTCCTGAGATTGTAGTTAGGATATTCCTTCTGTGGAGGTCTCCTTTGGAGTAATGCTTCTCTGCACTCCAGGGCCTCTCCGTCTCCTGCGTGAGCTGGGCAGTACACCATGCTCTTTCACCTGCTCATCGTCACTGTACATTTTCACGAGCTCTGAGTCCTGGTATCATGACTAAAGTGCTCTTTTGCTTATTTTTTTCCTCTTCTAGCAACAGTTGGATATTCCCATACCCAAGTACTTTTTGAAGGAGAAAATAGAAGTAATAAGAGAAAGAAAGAAAATCCTTGCTCAGATATTAGCTGACAGTGGATTAGATGCAACTAGCATGGTTTGTATCATTCTAACAATTTTCTTAATAATCTGTATAACTTCTGTTTCTTTCTTTAGCTCCCTATTGTGTGAGAAGCAGATTGTTTTCAATTTGAGGAGAGTTACCCCCTCCCATTGTTATGTCAGCATATAAGAAGTTGTGTAACTTTGGGATGTATTTTTGGTGACACATAATCATTATTTTCCAAGGGCTTAAATATAGAGATCAAAATAAAATGCTTTGTTGGTTAAATTGTGATCCCTAAGACTGGGTCGATTATCAGCTCATCTTAATAGGCCTTCTCAGGTCCACCCAGCTGAAGTCAGCATTCATATAAAATGGGCAGTCATTCATATAAAATGGTCAAGTGCCAACATGACTCACCGGGAACCTGAAAACTCGGATGCTTTCTCAAATGCTCATGACCTTTGATGACTTCAAGTTGAGTGACACTTGCATCTCCTGACATGAATCGTATGTGGGAAAGAGAAAGAAGATCCTTAAAGATTCCCCAGAGAGCCCAGAGCAGGGTCCAGGCAGCTCTCAGCCCGTACCTCCCTTGCCCCCATCTCCAGCCCCACCTTTGCCCACCATCCCCAGAAGACACCTGGAATCTCCCTAGGCACCATGACCCAGGTGGCAACACCCAATGGGGCCCATTTGCAGGAAGACCACAGGTGCCAGCTGTTGCCATTGTACCCTGGTCTTCCCCTGCCATCTCCATGTGTCACTTGTACTGCCCCAGTTTGGATGGCCAATTGCTGTCACCTCCCACCACCTTGTCTGGGTTTCTGCAGTTACCCCTCCATGAAGCCTCCTTTAGGGGCAGGGACAGTCCTTCTCTGCCAGTCCTTCGCACATGGCTCTGCCTGTCCACCTCCTGGGATGTCTACTTATGCATGTCACTGACTTGCTGACTGTGAACTCAGCGCCCTGTTCCCCTGGCTGATCCTCGTGGCTCATGCAGCAAGACAGCAATTGGCCATCCAAACTGGGGCAGTACAAGTGACACATGGAGATGGCCGGGGAAGACCAGGGTACAACGGCAACAGCTGGCACCTGTGGTCTTCCTGCAAATGGGCCCCATTGGGTGTTGCCAGCCTCGGTCATGGTGCTTAGGGAGATTCCAGGTGTCTTCTGGGGATGGTGGGGCAAAGGTGGGGCTGGAGATGGGTGAAGCCAACCCAGCTCCAAGCTGCAGAGGACTTGCTCTTTCCCTGACATTCATTCCTGTCACCATGACACCCCTTCTGTGGAGCCCAACTTGATACAGATGATCTCGCTTTCTGTGCTCCTCTCCCAAACTGCTGACCCCTCCTCTGTGCTGTGAATTCCTTGAAGTCATTTCAAGGCCAACTTGCATAGGGATCCTGCAGCCATCCTTCCAGCCCTGGGCCCTGTGTCTGTACTTTCTGTCCTTGCACCTGCCAGAATGAATCACTGGGACATCATCTAGTTCCCCCAGAGGAACCCTGTGCCCCAAGTAGCCATATGTAGCATAGAACTGACCCAAGGTTTTGTGAGGGAAGTGGGGAAGGGAGATGGACGCGTTGCACTACACATGACAGCGAGGCCCTTGCTGTCTCTCCTGCCCAGTGTCCCTCTGGATTGTGCCGGGTCAACATCAGGGAGGTTTCTTTCCTGCCCTCTGTGGCCATCCCTTCCACCTCCACTGGGCAGTGCTCGCCTCACCCTGGCCTCATTTTAGTGCACCCTGGCTCAGCACCCCACGAGGCCCCCCACAACCTTTGCATGCCCTTCGCTGTCCTGCAAGCCCCCAAGCTCACTGTCAGCAGCCTGTTTCTTCAAGATATCTGCGATGTATACCCAGAGGAGAACTTGGAGAAATGAAATCGTTATCCATCGTCTACATTTAAAAGTCAGTCCCCGCTGCCGAGGCCTCCGGGGTGTTCAGTACTCTTAGTCGTGTTGGGTAGACCTCGCAACATCCCTCGAACACAGCTCTTCAGCACTGGCTGTGAAAGTGTTGGAGTGAGAGCTGGGAGCCCGAGGGAAATGTGCAGGCCACCGACAGTGGCCAGGGGTCCTCTAACGTGACCACCACGGTGATGCTCGTTTTCCTCTAACACGCCAAGCTCACTACTGGAAATGTGTGCCCCCCGCACACGCCAAGCACCAGAATCTCACTGAGATCTCCACCCTGAGGACCTGGGGTGTGGACGGGCTCCCCCGTAGGCAGCCATATTCCTGGGGCTGCACTGAGGGACACCTTGGGGGGGCAGCAGATGGCTTAGTGGGAGGAGGGTCGGTCCCTGCTCCAGAAGGCTCCCCACTTACCACCCGTGTACGTCGCTCCACCGTCTCAGCCTCAGCTTTCCTAACGGCTGAGTGGCCAGAAGCACCTGCCTTGGACATTGATTCAGTGACTCTGACGAGCTCCGCGGGAAAAGAATCTGGCATCCGTGAGGTCCCTGTCCTCCTCACTCCTTCCTGCACCCCTCCTCCCCCTGTAACACAGAGTGACTGTAACTCCTGGTGACAAATGGAGCAGCCACTCCTGGGGCCCTGATGTCACGGCGTCACTGCCCCAGAGGCCTGGAGGGGACTCCACCTGTGCCTGCAGCTACTTTGCCTCTCCTCTGCCTTCATCCCTTCACGGACACCCCACCCCCCACCCCCGCAAGGCCACCTGCACGGCTTCCCCCTTGCTCCTGGGACAGCAGTGGCCCTCAGCCCTGAGCCCTCTCAGAGCTCACGGGGGCCCTTGGGCACCCCCAGAGCCCTTGCTTTTGTCCCTTTTCCTTCTAAAATGTCTTGGCCACTTGCCTGACTTTGTCACCACATGCCTCACCTGAGCCCTGGACTTTTTGTTTTAATGGCACTTGTCACCACATTTGGATGTTTTAAATGCAAATTTACGAGTCTTGGAAGATGTTTCTTATGTAAAATTAAATGCTCCTGAAATGATTTGGCATTGGCCTCGTTCACTAGGTCAGTCTGTGATCGGTTTAGACCCAGCATTTTACCTCGCGTGTATTTTAAGACTCATATCTCATATTAGTGCTGTGTTTAGATTCAAGTGTTACTGAATCACTTCCATTTCTAGTGTCACTCGCGGCCAAGTTAAACTATGGTGGCTCGAGTTACTATTTTGTTTGGAAGGCTAGAGGAAATCTGCGGTCCTTGAATTTGGGATCACAACATGGCGTGGCAGAGTATGACAGTGTACCTAATCTGCTGGTAGACAGAGAGCATCGGGGAGCCTCTGCACGCTGCCCCATGGGGCTATTAGCAGGGTGTGTTGGGAGGAAGCAGGTGAGTTCTGACGTGTTTAAACCTTGACGTATTCTGTTTTTTGTTGTTGTTATTATTTTTAGAAATTAGCCATAAAGAGCATGCCCTTCGAAGAGGCTATTAAATTAATCCAGATTGCTGAGCGGGCGCGGCAGGGCCGCCTGAGAGCCCTGTTTATGAAGCAGATATACCTTCAGGAATACAGAGCAAAGCAGGCCAGGCTGCTCGGGGAGAAGGTCGCGGACACGGGGGCTGCCGCACTCCGCATCCAGAAGGTACGAACAAACGTGGGGCCCCCAGAGCTGGGGGGAGCATCCTACGCAGGTAGAGATCCTTCCAGTTCAAGGGGTGAGTGCTGAAAGTCAGAATCCAAAAGTCCTACCTTTGGTAGAGCTGGATTCCATTAGTAAATTCCAGGAAGATTTGTTAATGATTACCCTGGGGAAACTGTGAACTAAACTTAGTCATACGTAATTTTTTTAAAATTCTAAATAAGTGAATAAAATAAAATACACAGAGTATTTTATTTAAATGTTTTTTTTTTTAAACCACTCATAATTGTTGGGAAAATGTTGCTAAGACTCGGTGAGGACATAAATCCTTAATGGATTTTTAAAAATATATTCATGCATACACAATTTGCCACCTGGCACTAGCAACCATCTCTAAGGACAGAACAGTGACAGTATCTTCCCTTCCAGGAGTGGCCCAGGGCTCTTCCCCCAACAGCTGAGTGCTTCTGGTTTGTACCCATCGGAGCTGGAAGCTGGGGCGCCTCCGGGCTGTATCTCCCCGTGTTCCTTTGGAATTTTTCTTTTGAAACTCTGAAGTGCCACCCTTAGATCTAGCCTCACACTCCTGCCACCGAGAAGATTCTCTTGAAAAACCCCAGGTAGAGGAACTTCACAAAAGAGAGCAGTAGCTCATTTCTGTGATGTGATTTTTTTTTTCCTTTCAAAAATTTTTGCCTACAATCACATACAGAAAGAGTCCGTCAACACACCCGTGTGCCGCCTGGGGTCTCTGATCATGTGACCTCTGGAAGGTGCCGTTACGCAGGAGAAAGTGTGTGGCAGGTCTCCTCTGCCCAGGTATTAAACAGGCGGACGTGCTTTTCCTCTCAGGTCTGGAGGGGTTTCTGCCAGTCCAAGAGGACCGAGAGAGAGAGAGAAGAGGAGATGATATTCCTGGGCATGGTGAGTGTGCTTGTCGACAGGACCTGGTTTCTTAGGCAGCACACTCAGGAAGGCTGAGTCTTCCCTGGCTGTCCCTGCCTGGCCACTCCACTGGTAGGAAGAGGGGAGACTAAATTGATAGTTTTGGCCAGCGGGGGCTGTGGTCTTCACCTGCCTGTGTTTAAGTCTCACCTCCTCATCTGCATCCCTTCCCTGACGTCTAGAGATCACTCAAGGGACAGCTGGCCCAGCAAGTCCATTAGTGCAGCATCGTTGACCTGCCGAGGCCCTTCTCCTGCCTGCCCCCAGCGGCTCTCCCCTCCTGCCTGCCTCTGGTCAGTGCTGGGGTATTCCGCTGGAGGAAGGAATCAGGTCCATGTTCCAGCAATGTGGAAGCACCCACTCTCTGGGTGAAGGACGCAGTTTCCCTGTGTTCACAGAGTCTCAAATCAAGAGCTTCCTGCTCAACAAACACAGGAAGTCACACCAGAGTAGTGCAGGATCCAACAGATGCCTTGATTTTATTACCTAGGTTCTCGAGTTTCCTCGATCTTGCTGTTTTAAAAACAAGCCAGCGTTTATGTTTAGAGATGGGGTCCCCCTCGGGCTCCAGCCCATTCCTTGCTTTTTGGTTGTGGGGTTGCTACCAGAATCTGGTGGGTTGGCACCTGCTGCTGGTTTAGAAATTCACTGGGTAGAATATTATTCAGCCATGGAAAGGAAGGAAGTTCGTCACACATGCCACAGAGCGGTGAGCCTTAAGGACACTGTGTCCAGCAAAATAAGCCAGTCACACAAAGGCAGATACCCCACTCTTCAGTCCCCTGAGGTATCCGGATGGACACAGCCATGGGCACAGCATGGAGTGGTGGCTGCCAGGGCCTGGGGCAGTGGACATTACATCAAATATCCAGTCTCTGTGTGCAGGTTAGGTCCTAGCGCCCGTGAACTAGTTTACCCTACTTAACCCCTACCCACACTAAAGCAAGGTCGAGATAGGAGATTTTAAGTCATGTGGGTATTTTTTCCCCATAATTGAAACGTTTTTAAATGTCCACTGGGCCATTGAATTATACTGAAATGATTCTATGTGGATCTCAGCTACTTGCAAACTAAAACTCAAACAAGCTTCTCCTGTAGTCCATTGAATCTACCATGTCTTCAACTGTAAGATGCATTGTTATTTTTAGGGGCCACTAAGAAAAAAGGGCTTCTAGATAAACCAAAGCACACCCTTGATTGTAAGATGCATCCGTCCCTAATTTCAGAACCATTAAGTGGTGAAAAATCTACATCTTAACACTGGTGAAACAGGGAGAGTTGTATCTGTCATATTAGGCAAAATAAGAAGGCTTGACAATTAGGGTCATTCGCAATGTGACGAGCTTGTCACATTGCCCCAGCCTTTCTGAAGGCCAGGGAGCCGGTGCAGCTAGAGCCTTAAAATATTTACATGTCCACCCTTGACTCTGTTTCCAACCTAACACATCATCAGAAACAGAGATCTGGCTGCAGAATAGTTCTCTGCCGTATTCTTTCTAATACCAAAAAAAAAAAAAAAAAACGGAAATGGCCAAGTCTAGTGTTCTAGAGCAGGTGTGTGGTGAATCATGAATCATGGTGGCCTTACACAAGACGGTACTGTGCCGCGCCAACACTACAAAACACATTTCTTACTAGTGTTTGATGATGCAAAAATGCTCAAGGTCGAAATTCGGGATTTAGAATTCTAGCATGACTTCAGCTAAGGGGACACTCAGAGCCCCTTGTGCGCACAGGAGAGGCACCTGCCGAGTCAGTAGGGCTCATGTTTCAGAGGGTGGCTTCAGAAGATGTTGGTGTTTTCTAAACTGGTCAGCATTTACTCTGTGAACCAGAAAACACACACTTCTTAGAGTAAAAGCAGATGGCAGTGAGGTGACATCCATATTCCCAAGATCTCCAGATTGCTTGGTGCGTGTGGATGGGTGGATGCTTAAGGAGACGGCAGCGTGAGCGTGATTTGGGGTGGGGGGGCATGGATATGGGACGTGAGGGTAAGCGTGGTAGTTATGTCTAGTTTTCTATTTTAAAAATCAAATTGCAGTCAAAATATTTGGTATAAAGTTTTCCAGTTGAACAAGAAATCGTACATTAGCTGCAGTTTTTGATTGTTTTTTTTTACACAAATGAAGCACAACTTTCATTTCTCCGATTGCACTGCAAATTGGTGCCACCACTCTGGGAAGCAGCATGGAGATTCCTCAGCTGCAGTTGTGACTCGGCAACTTCTGTTTAAATAAATTTCCATCTCCTTGAACTCGGTCTACGTTTACCCAACAGCCACCGTGCGCCTCGTGCCACAAACCTGGGCAACGGCCGGGCATGACTGTCTCACCCTCAGGTCTCGCTAGCTGACACTGATAGCACATGAGGGTGGGATCACACGTGGCTTGGTTTTTCAGTTTTCCTTTGTCACTTGCATGTGCGTCGCTGGGATGAAAACTGCTCGTCCCGTTTCTGACCACGAGCAGGGCGAGTTTGTGTTCCGCGAGACGTTCCTCAGCGGGCTTCTTCCTGCGTCCCCCTTGAGAGCACGTGGTCTATGGAAATCTTACTCGTGAGAAGACTATGGATTCACTTTTAAAGGAACGCTGCCTGCTGTTCACTGCCTGGTGGCCATAAAGCATCCATTCCCCACCCAAGGCGGCTTCCGTGGAATAATTCCCACTGGTCCCTGATTAGGAGACGGCCTCCCCTCTTTACCCTTGGTTTCTCCGTCCGCTCATGCTGCTCACTGTGCCAGGGTGAAGCCATCGACTCACCAGGTCAAAGCTGCCTCCCCACCTCTGGGAGACCCTGGAGTGTCCTCAGGAGCGGCTGTTGGGCATCAGAGCCCTGGATTAGAGCAGAAGACGCCAAAAGGCCCCACCGCGCCCCACGTTTCCTTTGTCATTGTCTTATGAAGGATATTTTCTATACAGCCATTTAAATGTTTTACATTCTAAAATCTATGCAGGAAAACAAATAGCGCCGCCCTGAACTCTCCTGTGCCGTCATTTTAATTGGCAGAGCCAGTGGAGCCCATCGAGTCGAAGGAGCTTGAAGAACGCACCGCACTCCACCCTGTGCGTCTCGGCAGGCACCGCGTCGAAGTGTGCACTTTAATGAGGAGCGCGGGGGGCACTCATTAAAGAGGCCGTCGCTTCTGCACGCTCCTGGAAGCGCCACACCACCCTGCTCACTTCAGACCCACCCGAGACTACCTACAGCCTACATGACATCTTGGCCAATAAATCAGACCCCTTTCTTGTTAGCAAATAACCCCCGATCCGAGCTCTGGCCCCCAGTGATTGTGGCTCCTTCCGAGGGCCTGTGGCACGGTGGCCCCATGCTGCCTCCCCAACAGTGTCCTTGGGCTCCTCTCTGGGACCTGCTGTCATGCACAGCCAAAATGGGCAGAGGATGTGGATGAAGCCCTTTCACCACCACCCTGAAGCCCAGCCAGGACCACGCAGTCCATCTGATCCTGCGGATTATCTGTCACATTTGGCTCCAAATGACATTCCATTGTTTCCAAAAGATTGATTCCCAATAAGCAGTTTGTGCTGTGACCCTGTGTTTTGCTTTGCTCTTGTTTGGTTCTAGCTTTTGAGTGCAGAAGAGCTGTTCCCAAGCTTCCCGGGGAGGCAGGTGCCCGCCGTGGGGGTGTCTCTTGACCAGCTCAAAGGGCTTGTGCTGCCGCAGACACTGCAGGGGAGCCAGGCGGGGGGCGCCAGCGGGCACTGCCCCGTGGAGGGGCTTGAGCAACGTGCCCACTGGCGCTGCGACCTCAGCCTCCTCTCCTGGGAGGTCAGAGCCGTGCTGCCTTCTGCAGAGGTGGGGGAGGACTCGATGAGGGTCAGTGGCTGAGACCTAGGTGGCAGCCAGGACAGACTGCACCTTCAAAGACAGGAGTCATGGAAAACTGTGTCACGGTGTCATGATGTGGAATGACTTTTAGAATGGTCATTGGCATCTAGAGGTATGATAAATTTTCGTCTAACAAATTGCAAATCTTTTAAAATGAGTTCTTGCATAAAATACATGTGCAAAGGCCGTGGCCCCCTGTGAACCACCACATCTGTGACGTGGAAATCACTGTGACGTTGGCTCTGGAAAAGCCCCAGGGCTGCTTCCCACCTGCCGCTCCCTGACCCAGCCCCGGGGAGCTTCCTGGGGCTGCCTGAGGCAACAGCTGCAGCCCCACACAGTCAGCTCCCTCCGGGTGGCGCCCAGGAAGAAGTGTCAGATGCCACCAGCGTCCCTCCTGGAACAGCTGTCCTCGCAAACCCACAGGCATCCTGGCGAGGAGGCCCGAGCTCCAGGGGGCTCCCTGGAGAATCTCGACCTCAGAAGCTCACTTCCAGAGACTCAGAGAGAAAAGGAAAATCACCGTTTTCTTTTCTATCAAATGGGATTTTACAGCCTTGTTCCCTGGGAACCGTTGAGTGTGATTTCAAGTCTGATTTTAATTTTTATTATGTCTTCTTATAATTGTTATTATTGATATGCTTGATTTTTGCCCCGGTCTCCAGGTCATGGAAACTAAATAGCCAAACTCGTTGCCCTCCCAGGTCCCCTGGCCCCAGGAGTCCTTCACCTCACTCTGGGACAGGACACCTGCCGTTATTGGTCCCCTGCAAGGGCACATCACGCAGTCCCTGGTGCACTTGGGAGAGTGGCCGAGGCCGAGGCCTGGAGCCAGGGTCCCCTGGGAGGCAGAGCGCGTGCTGACCCCAGCACTGAGCCGGCCGCACCGTGAGCCTCGCACCATGGCTTCTGTACGTCTGTGCCAACAGGGACGCGGTGGCTGCTGGCTCGGTTAGAGCCAGGCCGGCACGGCCAGCACTGGAGAAGGACTAGCCGTGATTCCTAAGTGATCGCATCGTGAGCCTGACACATCATGCACCTTCAGACACGGTGACCAGGTGCCGTTTAAGTTAGAAAAGGGCAAGGCACCCAACACGGGCACTGTCGCCCTGACCAGGAGAGCCAAGGGTGCAAGGCTGGAGAGGCAGCCTAGCAATAGGCATTAAAATCACAAATGCTCATTTTTTAAGAAAGCATGATTTATAGTGCCCGCCAAATGCCATCTTCAGACAGCATTTTAATTCAGGAGACCTGCCCGCAAAGAGGCAGCCAAGCATGGTGCTGGGGCTTGTGCAGGTATGTCACAGCGGGTCCCTCTGTATGTACGATCACCACACACCAATAAAAACAGTTGGGAACAAGAACAAAGACTGGAGATAGATGGCTCAGACCAAACCCCAGTCTGCTACTTCCCGGCTGTGTGACTTTGGGCAACTCACCAGACTTCTCTGTGCCTGTTTCCTCATATATAAAATGAAGTAATGAGGCTACTTACCACATAAAGTTGCCATGAGGAATAAATGACATAACACCAGTGAGGACTTAAAATCATGCCTGGCAAATCACAAGTGCCCTCAAAGTATCTATTAAAAACAATTTTAGCCAGGGGCAGTGGCACACACCTGTAATTCCAGTGGCTAGGGAGGCTGAGGTAGGAGGATTACAAATTTGAAGACAGCCTCAGCATCTTAGTGAGGCCCCAAGCAACTCACTGAGACCCTATCGTAAAAGAAAAAAGAAAAATTAAAACAGGCTGAGGAGGCGGCTCAGTGGTCAAGCACCTCTGGGTTCAATTCCTGGTACCAAAAAAGAAAAGAAAAGAAAAAACAAAGTAGGACCCGATTACATCTCCACCACTGATTGATCATGAGTCCAGCTCTACTACTTTGGTTCAAGTTCCTAAAAAGGCAAAATTTTCAGATGCTGGGTGTTTTTTTTGTTTTGTTTTTGTTTTTTAAAAATTAGACTTAATGAACTGGAAAAACACTTTAGGTCTCTGATAGTTCTGTATTTGCTAAAATTGTGGATTCTAAAACAAAGGTCCACCCTGGGGACGCTCAGCTCCTGCTGCCGCAGCCCCCTGCGCTCCCCGGGGCCGTCTGTGTGACCCGCACAGATGCGCGGTACCATGTGCTGCCCGGAAGGAAACGTGGGGCCGGGTGGCTGGTTTCCGTCAACTGTGGCACCCCCTCTGCACCATCCCGAAACGGACCCCGAGGTGGGGACACTCCCGGCACACAGTCCGCCGTGTGCCATCAGAGCCGAGGCGTGCGGCACCCGTCTCTGTGCCCGCGAGGACCGAGGCACAGCCAGTCAGTCTGTGCTCAGAGGGGTGAGAGGTGGCTGTAGGTGGCCAGGGATGGCGTCCCCCTCCTTGCTCCAGCTTTGTCTCCAGTGTCCCTGCCCCAGGAGCACCTGGAGGAGGCCGCCAGCGTCGTCAGCCCTTAGTGCACGTCCACTGGGGACCGAGAGATGGAACGGCATTTCATTTGGACAAATGTCCATTTTGTCTTCCTAATTTGAACAAGGAGTTTTAAAGACAAAGCCCATCAAACATTAGCTAAGCATTTTAAGTTAATGGACCGTGTCGTGCTATTTGCCCACAGACTCAGGAAGCACTGTGTTGTGCCCTATTTTTACAGCAACATCAATTATTAATATGTATGTTTTTGCTGACAGAGGACCTTGCTATAAATGTAGGTTTCGTTATCCCGTTCTGGGTCATTAACAGTGGAAAGCTTGTAAATATAATGGTTTATTCACATGGGAAGCCTTCATTAAGATGCATCGTTCTATAGCTGATGCGTTTCAATATAGAACATGTCATTGTGTTCTCTGGCTCCCTTTTAACATTCGTAATTTATTTTTAAATGAGTTGCTGTTATACCACGAGTTAACACATTCGAATTCCATATGACCAAAGTTGCTAAAGAGGAAAAGATGTCGTAGCCTAAAGGAAGAGGTGCTCATTAACATGGGACCTAAATGCATTATAACCTTTCGATTCAAAAACCAACTAGAGAAGGAAGCCCCAAATGACCAAATGCATTTCCTTGTCAGAGAAAGTCGACATCAAGAAACACACAGAGGTGCACACACATTAACCACACAGCATGGCGTGGCAGCAGGCAAAGCCACAGGAGCCAGGAACTTCCTGCTGGCTCCTTCCTTGACACCGAATGATGAAGAAGGTGGAGTCCACTTTGAACCTCTGTCTCCTCATCCGTTCAGTGGGCTCCTCATGTGAACATCAATAAGGAGAGAGGTGAAGGAACACGTGGGGCTGACATTAACCCGATGGCTGTTCAGTGTGGCTGATAGGAAATGCCGCGGGAGCCGAGTGATTTCTGGTTGGACTGTGGATGTTGAGGGAGTTTGCTGATCACCTCTTACAAAGCTATTGAGAAGACGTGAACCAGACTCGCCTGCTGTGAGGAAGGACAGCGGGGGGCCATTTCAGCACAGCGAGTACCCACCTGGGAGGGGACCTGCGGAGGATGACAGGAGCAGCGTGACTGGGCGGAGGTGACTTCACGGGAGTCACCCCCAGCAGAGAATCGTCTCAGTGGAGGCCTCAGAACACCGTCTTCAGGGGCGGAGCAGGGGCCCCTCAGGAAGGCGACCCACTGTGGTGGGGAGGGGAGTCCCTGTGGGTCAGGAACTTCTGATTCACACCTTATGGTCCCGCCAGGGGTGGGAGACGTGGCCTGGGAGATCCAGGGTCCGGTTTCACCTAAATGATGAAATGGGGGAGTTGCCTCCCTGAGTTCCACACAGACACCCACAGCCACGACCAGCCACGACCAGCCACGCCGCCCAGCACCTCGGGGACTTAGATGGTTTTTTTAACATTGTTCTTTAAAATGATTTTGTGATTCTCCCTGCTTTCACTTTTCATCATAAAAGCCGTGCGTCCTCATGTTACTGAACTTGGAACCTTTGCTCGTGTTCTGAGGCTTCCCAACGCTGTGTTCGTGAGGCTCCGTGGGTGGCCCCTTTCTCTTTCCCCTTGGGTGGACGTGACTGTCCTCTGATTCTAACGGCCCCTCGTGTGAAATGCCTCTCACCCCAGAGCGTCAGGGCTGTGTCTTGGCAGTCGCGTCCGTCCGTCTGTCTGTCCACACAGACCTGCTGTTGCATCCAACATTTAATCCATTTGGGATGTGTCTCTGCGCGTGACAAGACTCAAGACCAACTGTCCCTTTCACAGTAACAGGCTTAAATCCACAGCTTTGCGGCTGGCTTCTGTGGGCTCTCGCTCGCTGCCATGTTCTTGCCCACAGCTCTGAAGTGGACGGACTTTAGTTCTGCTCTCTCCCCCACGTTTCTGGACGCCGTTGCCAGGTGGCCGTCCTGGGCTCCGCCCGCCTGCTGGCTGGTGCCGCCCGGCGCAGAGACAGCCAGCCCAGTAGGGATCGCGGCGGGGGCTCCCGGGCCCAGGCCCTGGGGTTCTGTCCTGGGGCTTCTGCGGAGAGTCCCACTCAGTGTCCCAGGCCAGCGGCCACCGCGGAGGGGCAAGGTGACGGGCAGAGCAGGGAGCGGGTGCCACAGAGGGGCAGGGTGACGGGCACCGTGCGGGGGCTGTTGGAAGCTGTGGAGCATCGTGCAGCTAGGACACAGGCTCTGAGGGAGGCTTGTGGAGGGGACCCGGGCCCAGGACGGGAAGAGGCTCCTGGTGGGTGGCCTTCCATCCCACAGGACAGCAGCAGAGACAAGGGACCCCAACAGCATGTCCAACAGGGACGGGACCTGGGGTCGAGGAGTCTGGAGTATTGACAACTCGGTTCATGAATACAGCTCGAGGATTAGCTTATGTGATTCAGGATTCAAAAATAGCCGTTTAACAACCAGCTGGCACACCCCTGAGAAGGTGTCCGCTGGCCCTCGGCAGCCTCGGCCTGACCTCCCGGCGAATCTCAGAACCTCCAGAGCTCGGTCCTGTCCACCAAGGAGAGCCGGCCCTCGGCCCCCGGACTCTGATTCCAGGTGCCCCAGCCCCAGACGCGCCGTCCTTCTCCAAGACCTCGCCCGCATCCCCTGCAAGCCCTGGCAGCAGCTGACTGGCTGCGTGAGCCTGTGCCCCTCCCTGGCTCGTGCTGACCTCCTCCCACCAGCCCCACTTCTTCAGGAGTCTGAGGGGACGTGACTGTGCGTTTGCCCCTGCCAGCCCCCTGCAGAGGCGGATCTGCGGGGCTCAGCACCTCTGGGTGCTCTGCTGCCAGTTGACGTGCCAATGGGTGGGTTTAGTGGGTTTCAAGGGAGAACATCCACTGAAAACGCTCACTGCCACAGGATGCCTGGATCTGCTGCGTCATTTCCTTCCCTGGAGGTTGGTAGGGACGGAGTGGACGTGTTCAGTGTCTTCTTTCTTGAAATCAGAGCACTCCAGCTCCTTCCTCAGGTTCTGGCTTCCAGTGCCTTCTTCCTCTACATTCCCTGTCCTCCGACTGACCAGGAAGCTTGGTCGAGTTTTCCTTTCCATGGTGTGAAGGAATCTGTGTTAGTATTACTGTGACAAAATACCTGAGGAAATCCACTTGAAAAGGTAGAAGGTTTATTTGGGCGCACTGTTCTGGATGTTTCAGTCCATGACCGATGGGCCCCTTGCCTTGGGCCTCTGGTGAGGCAGCACGTCGTGTGCTGGGCCACAGAGCCAAACCACTCACCTCACGGCCAGGAGCAAAAGAGAGAAAGGAAGGGCTGGGTCCCTCACTCTCCTTCAAGGGCACACTCCCAGGGAGCGCCACCGGGCCCACCTCCTGGAGGCTCCACTGCCACTTGGTGGTGCCACCTGGGGACCCAGAGTCTATCGCTGGGCCTCTGGGGACATTCATGGGCCAGCACTGGATGGGCGCGTCCCTAGGCAGCTGGCCCCTGCGTCTGGGCAGCCGTGTGGAGTGAGCCCCGGTGTCCCCCCAGCAGTGGGCCACCTCCTAAGGTTGCTGCCAGGCCTGGTCTTGGATTCTGGGCGTCTCCGAGGTGGAAGGACACCACCGAGGACCTCGGCACTCTGACCCTCCAGGACCTCTCAGTGCTGTGGCTTACAGTCTCCCCCTCTCTCTCCTGTTCTCAGAATCCCCCTCCTCTCTTCGACCAAGTCAGTGCCGCCATTATCCAGGCGGAGAAGGTGAGCCTGCTGCGGAGCGCGGTGCAGCTGAGGCACGAGGAGGGCTACAGGGAGGCCCTGGTGACCATCAAGAACGACCTGCAGCAGACGGAGGGCCCGGACATCAAGGAGAGCCTGCGGGATCAGATCCGGCAGTGGTTCATCGAGTGCAGGTGAGCTGAGTCCGTGCGCCCACCCACGTCCCTTGGAGGCCGAGCCCCTGGCACGTTTTAACTCAGACACACCCGGGGAGGGTCAGGGGGTGCCTTAGCTCCACGCAGGACAGAGGTCTCCGGGCGAAGCCTTCAGAAGTCAGTTCTCTCCTCCTTCGTGACAATGTCCTGTCGTGCTCTCGGCTTGCGGTGGAATACAGTCCAGATAGTGCTTCTGTGACCACAGAAGTAGGACAGGATGGGGGACACAGCCCACCCTGGGGGGACCCACGCCCGTTCTCAGCTGGGCCTGGCTGAAGGCCCCGGGACCCCGGCTGGTGCGGCCTTCCCCCTGGGCCCCCAGCTGCGGCTTGCCTGAGGCCCAGGGCTCTCAAACCCAGCCCCCAGAGAGGGGGTCGGCAGTTCTGGGGCGAGGCCCCGGCCTCCTCGTGTCCCAAGGGTCTTGAGAGGGTCCTCCACGGAGTGCTCAGTGACCTAAAGCGAGTTCCTGGGCCAGGTTCCGAGGGGTCTTCCTCAGGCACTTCCACAGGGTGGGAGGCACTGCCGGTGACCCTCGTGACAGCTCTCGGGTCTGTTTCGTCTCAGGAGGAGGGAGGGCGGCTGGCGGTCCCCACTGGGCTCCCCTTTTCTTGAGTAGGGGGCACATCCTCAGACACTGACGCCTGCGCTGGCCAGCTGAGCGGGACGGGCACGGAACTGTTAGGGGTAGAGAAAGCTGACCTCCGCTCAAAAATCGTGATGTGACCCCTGTGGTGGGCAGGCTCTGAGCTGCCCAGTGACTCGGGTGTGGTCTACACTGCATGACTCACTGAGGAGAGTACAGCAGAGGCTGGGCTCTCACCGCCATCTGCTCACCTCCCACACCCTCCTGTGGGCTCAGAGGAGTCCCTGCCTGAGAGGACCCAGGGGAGAGGCCTGGGACTGAGGGAGGCTCCCAGGGCTTCCTTCCAGCAGCCAAGAGTGGAGTGCCACCCACGGCCACACGTGTGGACCTGGAAGGGGAGGCCTGGGGTGGCCTGTCCTGGCCGGGGCTCTGATTGCGGCTGTGTGGGCTGGAGGCAGAGGCTCCCCACAGAGCCACACCTGGCCCGTCCCTCAGAGGCTGTGGCACAGTCAACGTTGGCTGTTCCCACCACTGGGTTTGGGGGTAACCTGTCGTCTTAGTGTTTCTCGCTGTCGTAACAGAGCGCCTCCCGCTGGGTGAATTATGAACAACAGAAGTTTGTGGGCTCAGATTCTGGAGGCTAGGAGTCCAGGCTGGAGGGGCGGCCTCCAGTGAGGCCTTCTTGCTGCGCCATAACTGGGGGAGGGGGTGCCACGTGGTGAGAGGGACAGGGCCAAACCAGTCCTCTACAACCACCAGCTCCTGACAGCCCACCTGCTCCCCTGGTAGGAGTGTGGGGGCCCGACCTCCTCCTGAAGACCCCATCTGTCCACACGGCGCCTCGGTGCATTCTGGTGGGGACAGACCCCAGCCCTTGTACCTGAGTCGGTCATCGTGTGACTTAGGAGGCTGGTCAGCTTCTGTGCTGCCTTACGTGGGGGTCTAGCCGTCGTCTCCTTGGTAACATTTAGAGGTCATGGCAGGTTTTCTTTGGTTTTTTAAAAATTAATTAATTTATTTTTATTTATATATGACAGCGAAATGCATTACAATTCTTAAAGATGACACACACGGGGCTCATTTCTTCACCTCTCTGGTCGTACACACAGTGTATCCACACCATTCGGGCCTTCGTGCCTGTACTGGACAGTCCACTGTCATTAATCAGGGGCATGGGGTAGGTTTTCCTTGATGCGACACGGCATGCTTTCGCCCGGGGGGGCGGGGTCCCGTCCCTTCCTGTGAGTACCCTTTCCAAACCTTTGATGGTGTCTCAGGTTCCGAGTGATGACCTTTGTGAGCGTCTCTCCGGTATCTTCCTCGGGGTACTTGATAGCAGACCAGGGCACATCCCGAGTCCCCTGCACGGGGTCTCCTCACGTGAGGACTCAGGAGCTGCGCAGGTTCTGCGGGGACGGGGATGGTCAGGAGACCGCGACGCTGGCAGCGGGGAGGGGGTGCAGCCCGCACGTGGCCCTCTCCCTCCTCCCTCAGCTTCCTCCTCAGCTGTCAAAGCCCATCGCACTCGACCCTGGACCCATCACCAATGGATCGTGATGAATCAGAAGAGCTGCAGGGAAGGGAGCCGTCGTGGTCGTGGCTCAGAAAATGCCCACAGCTCCCCGCAGCCCACAGCGCCAGGCCAGCACCCCCGCCAGCCCTGTCCTCGGCTCCCGCTCCCGTCCAGGTGTAGGAGAAGCCGGCAGTGGCCTTCCCGCTTGAAGTAGCCCTTCAGGCCTGGGTCAGACGTCCCCTGTTTTTCTCTCCCTGTGGCATCTGACCGTAGAGGGGGGCAAGGACTCCTCCGCCCACCAGGGCACCCAGACCAAGAAGGAGCAGCATCCAGGCACTCAGGGTCAGCTAGCAGCGGGGACAATCCTGAGAAAAGCGTCCCGAGGCGCGTCACCTGTCCCGCCAGCATCGTGGGGTGCCATGCAGACCCGGGCGGCGTAGACCTTACTGCCCTCGGCCACCCAGGCTGAGTGCCCACCTGGGGCCGCCTGTCACCCTAGGACCAGGGTGGGCAGAGCCGCCACCACTGAGTCTTCAGCTCCAGCAGGAGAGAAGGCGATACAAGAGGGGGGCAGCGCACACCGGGTCCTGGAGGCCACTGCAGGTGTGACACAGCAAACTTCTTTATAAGTAAGCTGGGTGTGCCCGAGGGCTGGCTGTGGCTCAGAGGCTGAGCACTGGCTGGCAGGGGGAGGCCCTGGGTCCTCCCAGCCCCACAAAAAGACCAGAAGAGAGGTGCTCTGAACTGGGGAGGGGCTCCTGGGGCAGTGAGTGCGCAGACCGTCCCGTGGCCTTGCTGGCGTCCCTCTCTGCCAGGCCGTTGCTCATCTCTGCTCTGTGTCTGGAGCCCATGGGTTGTGGACATCGGCCTCACCCCCAGCACAGGAGGAACTCGAGGCACGATGACCTTAGCACAGCAGCGACACCCGGACAGCATGGTCTGTGCTCTGCCTCCTGTGGCTCCATCGTTGACCCAAGAGTCCCCGTGCCCCAGCTGGCTCCTCAGACACTGAGCTGCAGGCTTCCTGTCTCTGGGGACTCCCTTCTACAGCCCTTGGCTTCTGCCTGGTGTCCCAGTCCCTGGGCACCGGCTAGTGTGCCCTCTGTGTCAGAGCCCACCCTGCTGGGGTACTGGTTCTGCTGGACTTCACGTCCACCCTGAGCACAATGACAGTGCCACACCCAGGCCCCAGGGGACCGTCCAGCATGGCCTCTTCACTCACCACATTCGCCCCACGTCGTGCCACACAGTCAGAAGATGGGCAGTGCCCGATGCCCACCGGTGGCCCTGTGCACCGCCCCGCTCCATGGTCACCCACAGCCAAGCTGGCGTTTCTACTCTGCTGGGGTCTCAAGGACTCGGTGCACGTCCCACTCATTCACTCCCTTCCCATTGCCCACACTCCTCACGGCCTGTTGCTCCCATTGACAATGACAGTGCCACCCCCCCTGACTGCTTCCTGCCTTCTCCTCCAGCTCCCCCTGGAGCTGAGAAGCCAAGCCACCTGGCTCCCCCCGGGGCACTTCTGCAGAATGATTCAGAAGGCAAACTGGATCCTTGCTTCCTGCAAAGCGCAGTACAACCGCCGGCAAGTCCCTCAGCTTCTCTGGGGTTAGCTTCCTCCTCTGTGATGGAGGACAAGGATGGTGCCGTTTCTGGGGTGTTTAGGACTTTTCTCCCTAAGTAGCCACCTGCTCCGCACACGTGCCCTCTCGCACGATGACTGCAGCCCCAGCCCAGTCCTAGGAAGACAGTGCCACATCAGTTTCCCAAGCAGCAGGGGCAGTGCCGTGATGGGGTCATGGGCCTCCACTCTTCACCACCTACCTGGCTGTGTCTGCAGAAACGCTCTCGGGATGGTCGTGTGCAGTGGCAACCAGGAAATTTAGGTAGAAAGGCTTCGCTTCAGAAGAGCTGAGCCTTCTGATTAAAGCACATGGATGTGTAATTAAAACCTTCACTTTCATAGTTAATGGGATCATGTGCCCCATGTTCATGAACTTCTGCTATCAGGGGTTCTCCTTTCCTTATCTGCCAGAGAACAAGCATTCAAATGTGTTTCCCATAAAATGATTCTTTATTTTTAACAAATATTTTAAATTCCAATATATCAAGTGACAAAGCCAAGTTGAAAGTGCTGTGCATAGTTGTAAGCCCAAATAAGTTAAAATATACAGTACCCGTCCTTGTCTGTGGGACACAGTCCAGAACCCCAGTGGGTGCCTGAGACCGTGGACGGTATCAAACCCTGTACCTGCTCTGCTTTCAACCCTACACAGCAAAGCCATACAGCAAAGTTGATTATATAAATTAGGCCCAGAAAGACTAACAACTATTAATAAGACATACCGTGTATAATAAGGTGCCACACAATAAAACTGTCAGCATCGCTACTCCTGAATTTTGAGACCAGTATTAGCTAACATAGGGGTCCCTGGAACACAGCCCTGCAGAACTGCAGTGGCCGCTCTGACAACCAAGATGGCTACCAAGTAACCAGAGGGCGGGTAGCATATACAGTGTGGACCTGCTGAACAAAGGCATGAGTCACGCCCAGGTGGGGCAGCCCATGGCCCAGTAATTCATCATGCTACTCAGAATGGCACACAGTTTAAAATTTACCAATTGTTTATTTCTGGAATTTTGCACTTAATATTTTCAGACAGCAGTTGACAGCAAGTAATTGAAACCAAAACCATAGAAAACAGAAAGTGCAGATAAGCGGGGACTACCGTAGCCACAAACACATCTGGCTTCTTAAATGTGTGTCTGTACATGCGTGAGAAGCCTCTGGGAGGGCACACCAGAAGCTGCAAGCTTGCTGTCTCCAGGGACAAGAGTGGTAGGTAGGGCTGCATGTTACTTCACATTCTTCTAGACTAT